GTTTCATCACGTGCTTTCCTTATCATCCTATGATTTGTCAAATTGGAGATACAGCAATTGGAATAATTGGTACTGAAATTGACACCTTCAATTAGGATTGGCTAAACGTTTTACAACTAAGGTTTAACACGCCCAGATTCAGTTTTATAAAGAAAACAGACTAGAAAAAGGTTTAGATACCAATCATAGATGGCAGGACCAGTGCTGAAGTGAAAGGAAATATCTTAAAAAATTTCTTCTTAGAGGGCGCTTATTTACTGTCTAAAACATATTTTAGGAATTTTTTCATTAAATTCCTCTTTAAACTTCATTAAATAATACAATTTTGTACAAATAATTGAATGTTATGCTACTATTTACAAAATAAAATCTGAAATCCAATAAAAGATAAGTTCTCTATCATTTTTTCAATTCACAAATGATTTTGCCCTCACAATAACACAAAATGGCCATGGCAAGTAATGGGTTAATTCTTAATTTTATAAAGCAATATATAAAAAATCCTAAATTTTCCCTAGTATGAGAATTATGACATTTTCTCTTTAGGCGTATTTATTATCATGGTATCTGAATAAACTTGGCATCATAATGTAATTAATAAATCAAATCCTAATATTGTGTAAGTTTTTAATTTTATAGGAAAATGTTTAAAAAATCCTCAAATTCCCCTAGTTTGAGAATTATGACATTTGCTCTCTAGATCTTCCTTTTTCTCTCTTTATTTACCACCCTTCTGAGAAGTATGGAATTTAACCTAAGTTACTCATTATAATATTGTTAATATTCAAGCAAAGCATGTTTGTTATAGCCTTTAATCTTACTTGTTTACAAAGCCATAAATTCGAAAATCAAACCCACTTGTCACATATTCTCTCTCACAAATTACCTGATGTTTAATACTATATTTTTTATAACCAATAGAAATCCAAAGTTTTAATATCTCAAACGACATATTTTATTATGTTGTTTTCTGTAAAGAGAATTGTATATTTAGTTTCCAATTCAAACTTTATTCCCTTGGGAAATATGTCGATCTTAGCTGAATTTTTAATAGCTCTTATCGCATAGTTAGAAAGCCGAAAAATTATGATACTTATAGAGCATTCTTTGCTTTTTAGGTATTATTATTCTGTGTTCTTAAGTGCATTACTTAATTAAATAAAAATTATTTAGTATAGTAGTATCATTAGTAAAAAAAATAAAAGGTAGAGTTAAGTTTCATCAACAGTAGCAAAAAAAAAACCCAGGACTGTACTATATTTCTTGTTTTTCATGTGTATTCTTTATTTATTATTAAAATAGTAATTAAACTGTAAAAAGTTATAAATTTATTAGGTTAGATTACGTAAGATAAAGAATAATAATAATAATAATGAACATTTTTCAGGAGGTATGCTCAGGAGTAGCTTGTGTCTTACATAATTCTATAGGTTAATGTGAGCTACATGTTTGCAGAGTAATTTACAATTTGTGTGTTAGGATTATTAGTTAGACACAGTTCAAAGAGTAATAAAACAATAAAATGTAAGTGTAAAAAAATGTATACTGTTATGAGCTTTATGATATTTAGGATAAACAAATGTAATTTCTTATTACAATTTTCAGTCATTCTGGAAAGAAAGAAAAGGATAATTTAGATTTATTTCATTTTTTTTATGGTGGTTACTAAGTCAGTCAAATTGACCGAATGAGGGTAGAGAAAATAAAATAAAATATAAAGCTTTACTGAAAGAAAACATTTCAAATTTATATAGAAGGTTTTAGAGATTACATAAGTGAAATTTGAAAATTTTCAGATAAAAGTATTTTTGATTTTCACATGAAAATCACTGTATTTGGAGCAGTCTACACTTTGATTCCATATATTTATGGAGAAATTTTCAGTTAAAATATTTCATTAAAAATTCTGATTTTTTGCCTACAAATGACTTGTAAGGTTTACTAAAAACTTGCAGATTTAACTGCAGATCTGTACTGTACCATTATTTTCCAGTATAATTTCCTTCAACCCACATTCTTTTCATTGTTCAATGCATTTTGGAGGGGGTGGTTCTTGTTAACCACTTTTAAGTAGGCTTTTGCCTGGACAACTGCATGTTTTCCCTCAGTGGAAGGCAGTCCAAGCATGAGTCTCATCACTAATGTGTGTGTCCTTATTACAGCCAATAAGGGTCCTGTGGTGAATTAAAAGTAACTTGTACTTGACAATTTCCCACATTTCTTCAGCATTTCAATTTGGCTGGTCAGTTAAACTAAAGCTAATTCTTACCTTAAAATTTCAAACTCAAATTATATTATCTATGATGTTGACATGTATCAAGACATGAGCCTAATTATGCTTTGAACATTTACTCAAATCAAATGCTTCTCATCTAGGTACCATTAATTATATCCTCACTAGATATTAACATTAATTTCATTATAACATTCTCTAGTTGTTTCTTTAACCATTATGTAAAGAAAATATTTAAGAAACATCTCACCCTACTTGTTGGACTCCAAAAACTGTCAATCAGTGTGATTAAAATTTGTCTCCCAT